ACAGCACCCAAAATACTATCAAACACTCCAACGCAGCTCCACTCTTCGAGGAAGATGGATAAAAAATGCACACAGGAAACAAAAACTTCGAAAAATGATATGCGACCCGCCAGATGCTGGCCGAATCACAGAGATGCCGATTCGCACGGGACTAATATTAGCACAGGACCTCGGAGTTCGGCGAAATATGGTAGGTCATTTGCGGGGGAATTTTTACTTTACAAATTACAGACATGGCCGATTCGCACGGGATTAAGATCACAGACAACCTCCGCAATTATTACAAATGACTGGAGGTCACCAGGTAATACTAATCCCGTGCGAATAGGGCTAAAGTCAGAAATGCCGACTTTACTCTGCGAGGAGGTGCGATAAAATAGAAAAACCCTGCCCTCTGTTCAATATACTAGTCTTGTTCCACTTAATGCGGCACCGCAAAGAACGGCTGCCACCTGACAAAAGCAAGGCATTCTGGTTAGAAAATTTTTCCAACTTTGATCGGCGCTGCAGATGTGCCATCAAAGTACCACGAGAGCAAAACAAGACCAGCCGCCTAGGTCAGGTGCTGCAGTTGCTCAAAATCGGCTGCGAAAGCCTGGATGATGACACACTTTATCTCACTATTTTGAGACTCTTAAAGATATGAAGAATAAAAAAGCCATGAATGACGTTGGTTCAGCACAATGCGGAAAGCAGGAAGTGTCGGACCTGACGACATGGGCCCTGTCCCAAATGGAACACTTCATGTGCACTTGCGGTCTTACGGACTTACAATGGCCACATGCGCATGTCCGTTAAAGGGTTAGTTCACCCAAAAATGAAAATTAGGCTGTGTTTTACTCACCCCAGAGGCATCCTAGGTGTATATGACTTTCTTCTTTCAGACGAATCCAGTCGGAGTTATATTAAAAATTGTCCTGGCTATTCCAAGCTCTATCATTGCAGTCAGCGGGTGTTGCATGCATCAGTCCAAAAGAAGTGAAATAAAAAGCGCCCATCCATTAAAATAAGTGTCTCACACGGCTCCGGGGGGTGAACAAAGGCCTCCTGTAGCGAATTGATGTGTTTTTGTAAGAAAAATATCCATATTCAAAATTTAATAATCACTTTAATGTAGCTTGCGCTGACTGTTGTACACTGGAAGCAGCTCCGGGCTGATGACGTATGAGTTCAGCGTTGCGCATGCGCCGAGTCGCAACAAACATTGGTGAGTCGACCAACATTTGTTTACAGGATCAAAGGAAGCAAAGTTTCCGTACTTTAGCAAAGGAAAACCAGTCTCCTCTTGGCTTATATCGAAATCCTCTGACATTCTTCTTTACAAATCCTCGTTTTGTACTTCTAATTCGTGTCCGTTGTTTTGTTTTGATCTCTCCCCTGCACTTCCGCGTTCATCACTTCTGAGCGGCGCATGCGCAAAGCCAACCTCCATACCAATGATAGAGCTTGGAATAGCCAGGACAATTTTTAATATAACTCTGACTGGATTCATCTGAAAGAAGAAAGTCATATACACCTATGCCTCGGGGGTGAGTAAAACACAGCCTAATTTTCATTTTTGGGTGAACTATCCCTTTAAGTCCAAGAGACTAGGGTTTCCCATTCCTCATTTTAGCATTCAGAAACATGCTCGCGAGTGCCCCCTTTACGGCCGCTATTTGCCCTCGATCCACACTTCCAGTTCACGCGGACTTTAAGATGGGTTTGAGGGTTTTTTCAAAATTAAATTTAAAGAGAGAGAGAGAGAGAGAGAGAGAGAGAGAGATCAAATTAATTTCTTGTCCAAGTAGCTCAAAATTTGCGCTTTTTTATGTTATAGCCTGATATTTTACTTAGCGTTACATTTTAATGATTTTTCGAATGATATTTCTAACCAGGAAAGACATTTTATTTAATCAGAAATCATGTCTATTTTTGAAAGAGTGTCTATGGAGAAACATGCTGTCGGATGTAGTTCCAGCATCTAACGTTACCAGCCGCGACTAACAGGAACCTGCTAACCAGAGGTAAACAGAGGCTGTGGGAGTGACTGTAAATTTTATATTTTTCTATTTTTTTTCTCTCTCTGATTGAATTGCCGTCTCTCTATATTTTCCCCTGTCTTCGTGATTTGGGTGAACTATCCCTTTAAGTCCAAGAGACTAGGGTTTCCCATTCCTCATTTTAGCATTCAGAAACATGCTCGCGAGTGCCCCCTTTACGGCCGCTATTTGCCCTCGATCCACACTTCCAGTTCACGCGGACTTTAAGATGGGTTTGAGGGTTTTTTCAAAATTAAATTTAAAGAGAGAGAGAGAGAGAGAGAGAGAGAGAGAGATCAAATTAATTTCTTGTCCAAGTAGCTCAAAATTTGCGCTTTTTTATGTTATAGCCTGATATTTTACTTAGCGTTACATTTTAATGATTTTTCGAATGATATTTCTAACCAGGAAAGACATTTTATTTAATCAGAAATCATGTCTATTTTTGAAAGAGTGTCTATGGAGAAACATGCTGTCGGATGTAGTTCCAGCATCTAACGTTACCAGCCGCGACTAACAGGAACCTGCTAACCAGAGGTAAACAGAGGCTGTGGGAGTGACTGTAAATTTTATATTTTTCTATTTTTTTTCTCTCTCTGATTGAATTGCCGTCTCTCTATATTTTCCCCTGTCTTCGTGAAAAAAAAAAAAGAAGAAGCAGTCGTGACTTTTTCCTTTTGTTGTTTATGCGAATAGATACAAAAATAATATTTGCTAATCTCCTGTTCTCCGCTAACTTATATATATATATTTTTTCTTTAACCCCATGGCTCTATGACGACTTCCGCTACCCGGAAACAGTAATAGGGTTAGAATTTGGTACTTTCTGTTTTCCAAAAAAAGTAGTATCGTGAAATTTATGTACAAGCTAAATTAATTATATCGGCACAACATGATCATCGGGTATGTTCATATTTTATTCATTATTTTCGGGTTTTACAAAACGAGCCGTACATCCCACACATTTCAGATCTGATCTGCCGCGATATGTACAAAAAGTGAATTTTACTCGCTCGTCTTTGGCTGGTTTGTTTTTATCCTCACTTAAATTAGCATCAACAAACAAACAAAGCCTGTCAACGTAATTTTAATGCATTAATCATGGTTTGCTTAATTAGCCATTAGCGAGTTGCAGGTTAACACATATATCTGTTGTAGCCATTAGCATTAGCATGTTGTATTGTCTTTGTGGCGTGGTGCATGTGCTGTTATTTTTATTTGATAGTAATTTGATTGACCGAGTCTTACAATGCATTCAAGATATTAAACATTTTAGCAGGAGGGTAAGACGGGTGAAGGTGCTCCCTTATGAACAACACCATTTACTGGTAAATCATATGTAGAGTTAAGCATCTAACGTTACTGAATAATTAGGCCTATGCAATATCAAGTATATTGTTAAGGGAAATAAATAGAAGCTTTTGTTAATTTAGTTGTAAATGTGTGCATTTTGAAAATTCAGTGAACATTTACAACCCATTTAATGTTTATTTTATAAATATTACATAGAATTTAGAATATTAGAAGAATTTCAACTCAACCTTCCACATAAAAATAATATTTTTTCTAAGTCAAGGTTAATAAGAGAGTTATTATTTGACAAGTGTTTAGTGAAGTCTATGCAGGGTTTCATTACTTGGGAGTAGGGCTGAACGATTTTGGAAAATAATCTAAAATTGCGATTTTTTTTTTTTTTACCAATATTGCGATTGCGATTTACGATAAAATTAGGTGATGCATGAATTGATATGAATGACATTTTTATTTAACAACTACAATCACAGTAGTATATTGACTGATTTGTTGAACGTCTAACCTTCTAAGCATGTAATAATTATGATATGGCTTTTCTCTTCCCTTTCACAAACCGATCCATCTCCCATTCTAAGTTACGTCCTTTGGCTGTTTACTATTTTATTTCTTTTCTTTTTCTGCTGATGGCCCGTGCTCGACTTGAAGCAGCGCTGCTTAGGCCGATGGGTGTGTGTCATCAAAGTACTGCGAGAGCTATAAGAGAGCGTGGATGTAGTAGTGTAATTACTGTGACACACAGTTTGTTGTTTGAAATGTAGATCAGGCAAATTAACCACAAAAACCAAAACTATGATATTCTACGGTTTAATGGCAGTGAGTGACTTACCATCATACTTTTAGTTTGTTCAACTGGTAAACAAACTTTGCCTACCTTGATCTTGTGATAGTATTGACATCACAGCTAGTCCGAGAGCTTTTCTAACCAGCATTATCACTGGTGATCAGTTCTGCGCATCTCAAACAAGCCTGTTGCCAATGTCAAGCTGTACTGGCTAAGATTAAGGAAGTTCATGTTTTTGTTGTTGTTTCTGCAGATGCCGTTTCATCTGTTTGTTTGCAGTGCTGATAAACAAAGGTGAGCATCTGAACTAAATTTGAATGATAAATTCATGTCACCTGTATAAATGCCAGATTATGTGTTTACAATTACAGTTTCTATAATTTCAGTGTCTCTGGATGTCACAGTAGAGGCTGTTATTGGTGGTTCTGTTGTCCTGCCGTGTTCTTCAGTTAAACATGATCTTAAACTTCAAGACATTGATGTGTTTTGGAGAGACAAAGATAGTGAGACTATTTATGATTTTATTAAAGGTACAGATTTTTTAGAGTCACAGGACCCACGGTATAAGAATAGAGCGCAAACTTTCCCTGACGAGTATAAGAGAGGAAATTTCTCCATCAAACTCATCAATCTCACTCATGCTGATGCAGGAGAATTCATCTGCTATATTACACCCTCAAATGAACAGGAGACTGTACACCTAATCATCAAAGGTGGGTAAAAAATAGTTAATTTATGTTTGAAGTTTTAAATTAAAACTGCCTGATTGCTGCTGTACACAGTATGAATTGTTTTGTTACTGTTTTACACTGTGCAGTAATGTTGTTGTTTTATTTTCTGAACTTTTGTTGCAGAATCCCTGACCTAAACATTTACCAACATATTGATGCTACTAAATAAATAAATAGTCCAATAATAATTAGCAAAACATAATTACAGAAGAAACATGAAAAAATTAAGTGAAACAGATTTTTGTTACATTGTGTTATTGTTCTAAGCTGATGTGTGTTAAGTTTGTCAGCAAGCCGATGTGCGTTATTATTCGGCAGTCGCTTCCCATTATACCTTTAGTGTTGTGAGAATATTGACATTTCAGCAAGTCAGAGAGCTTTTCTAATTGGCATGATCACTTGTGATCAGTTCTGCTCATCTCAAACAATGTCATGATCTACTGGTTGAGGAAGTTAAACTTGTTTTTGTTTTTCTGTTTCTGCAGTTGGTGTTTCATCTGTGTGTTTGCAGTGCTGATAAACAAAGGTGAGCATCTGAACTAAATTTGAATGATAAATTCATGTCACCTGTATAAATGCCAGATTATGTGTTTACAATTACAGTTTCTATAATTTCAGTGTCTCTGGATGTCACAGTAGAGGCTGTTATTGGTGGTTCTGTTGTCCTGCCGTGTTCTTCAGTTAAACATGATCTTAAACTTCAAGACATTGATGTGTTTTGGAGAGACAAAGATAGTGAGACTATTTATGATTTTATTAAAGGTACAGATTTTTTAGAGTCACAGGACCCACGGTATAAGAATAGAGCGCAAACTTTCCCTGACGAGTATAAGAGAGGAAATTTCTCCATCAAACTCATCAATCTCACTCATGCTGATGCAGGAGAATTCATCTGCTATATTACACCCTCAAATGAACAGGAGACTGTACACCTAATCATCAAAGGTGGGTAAAAAATAGTTAATTTATGTTTGAAGTTTTAAATTAAAACTGCCTGATTGCTGCTGTACACAGTATGAATTGTTTTGTTACTGTTTTACACTGTGCAGTAATGTTGTTGTTTTATTTTCTGAACTTTTGTTGCAGAATCAACAACAGAAAATGAAAACCAATCCACTGAAGAAGCAAACGGAGTACCAAAAACACAATTAGACTGGTGGCAGATATTACTGATCTGTGTTTGCATTCTACTTGTATTAATTTTGCCTATAGCCTATTTCAAATGGAAGCAGAGAAAAAGAACTCCAGCTCCCATATAGAAGGAACAGTGGAAAACTGGAAGTTTTATTAGGCCCAATCCCAATTCTATTTTATACCCCTTCACCTTGTCCCTTGGGTATACGGCGTATACCCACTTCTTTATCAGTCGGCTTTGCGTATACCCACTTCTAAATCCCCTCTGATGTGCATCATTCATTAGTGTCCTACATTAGCCAAAATCATGACAGTCCACTATGACTAGCTAATCAAATCGCATGTGAATAAATGCAAATATTCCCTAAACATACCCAGTAAGACAGTGATGCCGTCAGAATGCGCCGGAGAATTGCAAGCGGAGTCGGTCTGGGGCTTGAGTGCATGTCAGGGAGGCACGCAGAGTGATAAAATAATATTTAATTATTAACTCCTAATTTGAATCTGTACATTATAACGTGTCTACTAGAGGTTCTGACAAAATGTTAATTGTTGCAGTCTATGTAATTTTTACATTTTAATTATTTATTGCAAAATCTGCACCTCTTTTGTGGCTAATATTAATTTCATAATGATCCTTACTCCATAGCAGAAGTTACAGTAAGTGAAAATGTGCAAATACTACTGGCGCATTTTGGGGTGAACTAAATATGCAAGACTAGTCTTACGTCACTGTTTATAACACAGGCCGTTCATCCTTTGCTGGGCCACTTAAAAAAATGGGGACATAAATTAAGAGTATACCCACTTCTCCAGGCACCACTACACCACTGCCTATACTGGTGTGCTGGTGTGCATTAGAGCCTTTAATTACTGTTCTATATTAATGCGCTGCTTACTGACATACACACACACATACATGTATATCGGAGATCGCGCAGCTCACACATCCAGGAGAAAAGAAACTTGTTAACGCTGCACCACGACTTTTATTAATAACAGTTTGAATACTGAATCGCAACATTATATTTTCCAGCAACGAGAGGATAAAATCGCTGTTTTTTAAGTAAACTCACTCTAAAAAGAGAAAC